GCACTGACTCGTTGCTGACGCTCCCTCCAATAGGTTTCTTTTAAGGCTGTAAATCACACAGGAAGAGACTGACCATCTTTCTCCCAAAGAGCAGCTGGTGGATTTGAACCGTGTGCCTTTGGGTTGGCAGCACAACTTCTTACCAACGAGACCACCAACCTCTCATAGTCTGAGCTAACTGGCTGAGGTTGTGGCCTGACTGTCTCCCCAGGTGACTGGTACAGTGCAGCACACGGTAGAGAGTCAGTCTGGTAATGACTTTCATCCTTGATGGCGCATCTGATTCCCCTGGAGAGCTTGTTAAAATAGATAGATGGGCCCCCACTCCTGGAGCTTCTGATTCAGGTTGTGTGGGCAGGGCCCTGAGGACCTATCTTTCTAATGAGTTCCCAAAGGAGGCAGACGCTCGCTTGCTGGTCTGGGGTCACACCTCACGAACGGTGTAGGGGGAAAACCAGACAAGTACATCAACAGCCACAGCACAGTGTGATGCATGAGTGACACCTCCACAGGAACACAACAGGGACCAGAGGGGACGACGCAACCTTCGGTGATGGTGAAAATGTTGTTAAAAGGGCTGGGGTGCAACTGACGGTTCCACACGTTTCTGAAAATCACGCCACAGCACAGGACTGGGCAGTGTTTCATTTCACATCCCCCTTCACTGCTCCCACAGACAACAGCCTTCAATATGGAATTGCATCTCACCATCAAAAAGAAAAAAATCCTCACCACCGAAACAAATATTCAACATTATGATAGATGGAGAAATGATTAAAATTGTCAGCAATTGCATCTTTTTTTAGGTTTCTTTTTTTATTAAATTTTATTAATTTTAATGAACATTTACAGAGATTTTGGATTTCCATTCATTCACTGTTGCACTATTTTCTCTACCCCCCAGTTTGTTCCTCTTTTTTTTTTCCTTTGTAAGTCTGTTTTAATCGTCCCATTGCCACAGTGCTTGTCAAAGCCAGTTGTGATTAACCTCCTTTGTCAGTGCGTCCTTTGCCATTCCCTATCACTCCTCCCTGAGAGAGTCTTCACCCTGATTCATAAGGAAAAGGGGACGAGCAATTGCATCTTACTTAGATCCACAAAAACACCTTTGGTACCAATAGTCAGGAGATCAGGAGATATATTGCACTGGGCAAGGCCACTATCACACATCTCTCCAAAGTACTGAGAAGCAATGATGTCAGATTGAGGACTAAGGTGCATCAAATCCAGACCATGTTTGTTTGTTTGTTTTCATAATTTGCTATGTATCTGAGAGCTGGACAGTGAATAAGGATGACAGAAGAATTGATGTATTTGAGCTGTGGTGTTGGAGTAGGGCACTGAATATCTCACAGACTGTCTAAAGAATGAGCATGCATGTCTTGGAAGAGATGCAGCCAGAAGGCTCCTGGAGGCAAGGATGGCCCAACTTCGTCTCTGATACTTTAGGACATGTTGTGAGGAGAGGCTCTTGCTCGGACAGGGACATCATGCGTGGAAAGGTGGAGGGTCAGAAAAAAAAGAGGAAAACTCTCAACAAGATGGACTGACACAGTCTGCGACTGCAGCACTGGGCTCTAGTGTATCGGAGACGGAGAGGAGGGCATGAAGCAGTGCAAGGTTCAGAGCTGTTGTTCCTATGGTCGCTATGAGCCGTGGTCAACTCCATGGCACCTGACAACAACTACAACAGCTCCCTTGCCGACAAAGATCTCCATCTGCGATTTCTCCTCTCAAGGACTCTGTTATTCCCAGTTAGGATGTGGTTCATCCCTCCTGTGGGCCTTGTGTTACTGAACAGAGGCCTTCCCAAAAGTGTTATGTAACGTTCATACTATGGTTATAGAAGAGTTATAAGAGTTCTATCATGGTTATAGAATATTATATTATTTATACCATATATTTTTCTTTA